TGGTGGTGGTGATGGTAGTAGTAGTAGTAGTAGTAGCAGGAGGAGTAGTAGTAGTAGTAGTATTATCAGTAGTAGTAGTATTATCAGTAGTAGTAGTAGTAGTAGCAGCAGCAGCAGTAATAGTAGTAGTGCACAATGGGGCCCCCCCTAGCTGTCCTACTTGTGAGTAGGGCTAACTATATTTGCAATATGGTCTAACTATAGTTGCAAGTAGGTCTATGTTGTGCATGGGCGCTAACTAAGTTCTGACGCTACTTGCATCTTATTTAGCCGATATGTATCTTGAATGCGGCATATGCAAGTATGTTGTATTTGTGGAAGGTTCGAACTTTGCAGAACTTTTATGTCCGCTTATTTATTTGGAGCGTTTTAAGAAAAATGATGTAGTTCTGCTGCTTGCATGTTGTTTTTGGATTGTTTGATTTGTCCTTTGTTAGCAGCTGTTGTTGTTGTGGTGTGGTGTAGTGTAGTGTAGCGTAGCGTAGCGTAGCGTAGCGTAGCGTAGGGTAGGGTATAGGGTAGGGTAGTGCATTGCAGTGCAGTGCCGTGTGGTGCAGTGTAGTGTAATCAGTTTATTGTAGTTGCAGTTGTAGCGTATTTGTAGTTGTAGCTGTAGCTATAGCTGTAGTTGTATAGCTGTGGCTGTAATTGTTGTTCGAAATGTGCTTCCCGCCACATTGCTGTGCACTTTTTCAACATCTCAACTTCCAAAGTTGCTCCGAGGCTAAGGTGTTTTTAGCATTTTGACTTCCACACGTGCTTCGCGCCACAACGGCGTGCAATTTTTCATCTCTCATCACCCCAGATGTCTCCGCACCCGCCGCTTTAGCGAGCCTACTTTTCGACCCTCCGGAGCCACAAAACATCGAAAAAACACAGCGTTTTGCGACTTTCCTACCTTTTCGCACACCTGCATCTTCTTTCTTCTGACTCTCTCTCTCTCTCTCTATCTCTCTCTCTTCGCTGATCTTCTTTCTTCTGCCTTTCTCTTCTCTGACTCCTCCCACCTCTGCCTTTCATCTGTCCATATTGTCGGAAGTTTGACTTCTAAACTTCCTTTGATAATACGGAATAGGCAAGTAGCTAAAAGGAATCAAAACAAGACAAGGGCCATGCAACAATTCTTTCTTGATTCTGTGCAGGATGACATGCCGGAAGGGTTGCAGTAACATGCGGTAACTATGTATAGGTTGTACAAATGGATCGAAATCTCGCGCGCCAACTGAAGAGCCTGTCTCAGCATGAACCCAACCTTCTATCGTCAGACAAAGAGAGACGAATATACAATGATGAACCATGTAATTACAGGCGAGCTGTCCTGTCTGTCTGTTTCCATCTTTTTGAGGGTTCGATCCGCAAATGCCCTGGACAAAGCCGAGGAAAAGGAATGTGGCACATGAAGAATCAAGCGCGCCGCACGCACAGATGGGAACACAGAAACGCAATTTTTCCAATGGCTGTTTCAAGAGATGGGAGGGCATCTGTGAAAAGAAATCTTTGCTGGGTGAGGTTCGGAAATCAACAACGTACATCAAAACAAACAGAGAGATAAGGCTTATAACAATGTATAGCGAAGGTAACATAAGTTAACGTATTTCTTCATGTTTGATTTGGTTTCCGAAGCAAAGTCACTTGAGTCGCTTGGACTTCTGGATGCAGCTGCAGCATTTGCTGCATCTGCCGTTGCAGCATCTGAACGATTGGCGCCACTTGCGTGGATGACCGCACCTCTGAGCTGAAGATGAGCTTCAAATTCCCTGGAGCTTTCCATGGAGGCATCGTTGTGACAAGGATGGATGGGTTGGATGGCGAACTTGCTGGACCGCTCGTACTCGTCCCAAACCAAGCGTAGCAATAGCTGTGGTCACCGTACTGGAACATGGCCAAGTAGTACTCTAGCTTTGACTACGTTGCTACGAGGTCTGAATTTTGAATCTTGTACCGTTGAGCCAAACGCTCTTGGAAACCAAGGGGAAAATGCATCATGAGTTCAATGGTCATTCAAGACTGGACAAGGAGGCAATGGCCATCATCGCAAAGGAAGATTTGGCTGCAACCAATCCATCGCTGCTTCACAGAACTCCAAGGTTTTCATGGTGCAGGGTGCAACACAGCGTTGGATTCCGTTGGCGCCTGGGTCACAAACATAAGGACAGCGCATGCCCACAAACCATCCGCCCCTGACATGCGAGTTGTTGAACCTGGCAGCATGGCCACTAATTATTCTGGAATGTCCCTGAAACAATCTGGAAAAGTTCATTAACATTCCGAAACAAAAACACGGCAACCAAAACACTGAGTTATCATATCGACTCAATTCGAGTCATAAAGCCATTGAATGGCTTCTGATGGTTATTTGATGATTATTCCCCACAACTTTCCCCAGCCTCCTCCGCCGCCTCCCGCCTCCCGCCTCCCGCCCCATCTCTCACACACATCACACGCAACTCACTTACATCTCACACACATCTTTGCCAACCACCATCTTTGTCACACACTATATCTTTTCACACACAACTCACTTACATCTCACACGCATCTTTCTCCACCACCACCTTTGTCACACGCTATCTTTCACACACAGCTCACACACAACTTTGTCAACCATCTTTCACACCACCACCACCATGTTTTAGTCGCCGGTGGCGCCGCGGCACTTTGCGTGGCAGGCGTGCCCCTTGGTCATCCACCTTCGTTTGGCGTGGCAGGCGTGGTACTTGGTCACATCCACCTTCGTTTTGCGTGGCAGGCGTGGCACTTCTGGTACTGGGTGGCGCGCTAAGTTGCCGGTGACGCCGCGGCACTTTGCGTGGCAGGCGCGGCACTTGGTCACATCCACCTTTGTTTTGCGTGGCAGGCGTGGCACTTATGGTACTAGGTGGCGCGCTTGGGTCGGTTTTAGTGGCCGGTGACGCCGCGGCACTTTGCGTGGCAGGCGTGGCACTTGGGCACATCCACGTTCGTTTTGCGTGACAGGTGTGGCACTTATTGCACTGGGTGGCGCGCTTGGGTCGGTTTTAGTCGCCGGTGACGCCGCGGCACTTTGCGTGGCAGGCGCGGCACTTGGTCACATCCACCTTTGTTTTGCGTGGCAGGCGTGGCACTTATGGTACTAGGTGGCGCGCTTGGGTCGGTTTTAGTGGCCGGTGACGCCGCGGCACTTTGCGTGGCAGGCGTGGCACTTGGGCACATCCACGTTCGTTTTGCGTGACAGGTGTGGCACTTATGGCACTGGGTGGCACGCTTGGGTCGGTTTCAGTCGCCGGTGACGTCGCGGCACTTTGCGTGGCAGGCGTGGCACTTGGCGACATCTACCTTCGTTTGGCGTGGCAGGCGTGGCACTTATGGTACTAGGTGGCGCGCTTGGGTCGGTTTTAGTGGCCGGTGACGCCGCGGCACTTTGCGTGGCAGGCGTGGCACTTGGGCACATCCACGTTCGTTTTGCGTGACAGGTGTGGCACTTATGGCACTGGGTGGCACGCTTGGGTCGGTTTCAGTCGCCGGTGACGTCGCGGCACTTTGCGTGGCAGGCGTGGCACTTGGCGACATCTACCTTCGTTTGGCGTGCCAGGCGTGGCCCTTGGTCACATCCACCTTCGTTTTGCATGACAGGTGTGGCACTTATGGCACTGGGTGGCGCGCTTGGGTCGGTTTTAGTCGCCGGTGACGCCGCGGCACTTTGCGTGGCAGGCATGGCACTTGGTCACATCCACCTTCGTTTGGCGTGGCAGGCGCGGCACTTATGGCACTGGGCTGGCTCTGGTGGCGCGCTTGGGCCGGTTTTGGTCGCCGGTGACGCCTGCACTTTGCGTGGCAGGCGTGGCACTTGGCGACATCTACCTTCGTTTGGCGTGGCAGGTACTGGGTGGCGCGCTTGGGTCGGTTTTAGTCGCCAGTGACACCACAGCACTTTGCGTGGCAGGCGTGTGGCCTGGCAGGCGTGGCACTTGGTCACATCCACCTTCGTTTTGCGTGGCAGGTGTGGCACTTATTGCACTGGGTGGCGCGCTTGGGTCGGTTTTAGTCGCCGGTGACGCCTCGGCACTTTGCGTGGCAGGCGTGCCCCTTGGTCATCCACCTTCGTTTGGCGTGGCAGGTGTGGCTCTTATGGCACTGGGTGGCGCGCTTGGGTCAGTTTTTTTCGGCGGTGGCGCCGCGGCACTTTGCGTGGCAGGCGTGGCACTTGGTCACATCCACCTTCGTTTCACGTGGCAGGCGTGGCACTTGGTCACATCCACCTTCGTTTTGCGTGTCAGGCGTGACACTTACGGTACTGGGTGGCGCGCTTCGGTCGGTTTTAGTCGCCGGTGACGCCGCGGCACTTTGCGTGGCAGGCGTGGCACTTGGCGACATCTACCTTCGTTTGGCGTGGCAGGTACTGGTGGCGCGCTTGGGTCGGTTTTAGTCGCCGGTGACGCCGCGGCACTTTGCGTGGCAGGCGTGGCACTTGGCGACACCTACCTTTGTTTGGTGTGGCAGGCGTGGCACTTGGTCACATCCACCTCTGCAGGCGTTGCACCTATGGCACTGGGTGGCGCGCTTGGGTCGGTTTTAGTCGCCGGTGACGCCGCGGCACTTTGCGTGGCAGGCGTGGCACTTGGTCACATCCACCTTCGTTTGGCGTGGCACGCGTGGCACTTGGTCACATCCACCTTTGTGTGGCAGGCATGGCACTTGTGGCACTGGGCGCTTGGGTCGGTTTTAGTCGCCTGTGACGCCCCACAACTTTGTGTGGGGTTCTTGTTTTTGATTCTGTATCCCGAGCCTCCTCCGCCGCCTCCCGCCCCATCTCTCACACACATCACACACAACTCACGTACATCTCACACACATCTTTGCCAACCACCATCCTTGTCACACACTATCTTTTCACACAACTCACTTACATCTCACACACATCTTTCTCCACCACCATCTTTGTCACACGCTATCTTTCACACACAACTCACACACAACTTTGTCAACCATCTTTCACACATCTTTCATACAAAGTCACACACTTCACACACAACTCACATACATCTCACACACATCTTTGTCCACCACCATCTGTGTCACACGCTATCTTTCACACACAACTCACAGACAACTTTGTCAACCATCTTTCACACATCTTTCATACACAAGTCACACTCTATCTTTCACATCTTTGTCCACCACCATCTGTGGCAGGCGTGGCGCTTTTGTGTGGCAGACGTGGCACTTGTGAAAAAAGGCCACACATTTTGTGGGCACTGAAGACTTGGGAGAAGAGGCGACTGTCTGTCTGTGTGTGTGTGACATGGTCGAACAAGCGCTCTCGGAAACTACGCCTGCGTCGAAGAGATCAAAGTGTTCAGTGCCCTTGTGACCGGATGACCTCTTCCACGGAATTCCCCGCAGTGATCCGGAATGGTTTGGCGCAACGTGCAAAGAAACATTGCGGGTCGTTTCCTGATGCGCAGGAATCCGGAATGGTTTGGCGCAACGTGCAAAGAACCAATGTCAGTGGGATTGCGGCTCGTTTCCTGATACGCAAGAATCCGGAATGGTTGGGCGCAACGTGCAAAGAACCAATGTCTTTCGCATTGCGTGAAATATGTGGAAAAAGAAGGTGAGTGCTTGTTGCTTTTGGAAAGATAATGAAACTGTGCATGTGCCGTCACTTTTAGATCTATTGTTGCTGCGTTCATGTTATGTCGTGTGTATCCTATAATTGCTATGCTTGTTATGATATGCGTGTCTTGTGATATGCGTGTGTATGAGGTGCATTGACAACCACTACCTTCGTCGCAATGTTATCATCGTCGGATGAGTGGCTGTAGGACAGGCGCGGCTGTCATCGGATTGTTGCCTGGCACTTATGCTATAATTGTCCTGCATGCTTACAACAGTGGAAGATCTCATTGCAGCGCAAAATATGGCATGTCCTTTTTTACAGGTCCTGCATGGTGACACCTTTGCGTAGAGATGCTCCTTTCGAAGATGCTTTTGGCTCGGTACCAGTGGCTCAGTACTCGTGGTTATGACTCGTGGTGTTACTACAGCAATGACCGTTTCGTTTTGTGTTGTCACACGCGTAAGTGACATGCTTTGTCGTTTCGACACTGCAGCTTGGAACAATGCACATTGTTCTTTTGCAGCTGTGAGTTCTTCGGCACATTACAAATAACGTCTCAAAACAGTCACTTGCATTCGTTGACTGAAAAGAAGGAGCTTGCATTCGTTGAACATTGTCTGCTGTGAGTGTCCAATACCGCACCATGGCTCTTCCACGCAATGACAAGATTCGCTCTGCCGGCGCCGCTGGCAGCGGACATCCGATAAAGGTTCCGGTGTGTTCCTTTTCGATGCGAATGCTCTGTTGTGCCACACGTGTGAGTGCTGGTTCAAATTCTTCTGCCAGGTGCTGTCTCGGGACCTCGCAGCAACTTTATCAACGTTGGCGGGTGAGCTCATCCGATCCGATAGTGAAGATACGCTGGAAGAGCAAGCTGCGGTGCTTCTCCAAATACCACGCAAACTGGAAGATGTGTGCGGAGCTCCTCTTTGAAAATCTGCAAACCCCGGAAGCACCGAATGCCACCAGCCCCACGGCTGGTGACACCCGGTGCTTCCGGGGTTCGAACCCGCAGGTTCGACTTGCAGGGTGCCCTCATAGCCACTTGGAAATGGCCACCCTGACAACCTGGAAGATCGCCAGGGCTTTGCAAGGCTGTGTGCAGCGAGCTGTCCTTGCAAGCATGACATCTTTAATCGCAAAGAAAACCCTTTGAAGTGCTGGAACCACTTTTTACCTTGACCAAGTCCACTTATGTACTCGTGTCCTCCTGCCAAGGTGTTGACCTCCTCGAAGGTGCTCCCCCTGCTTAGCGGGATCCGAGCCAAATGCTGCAGGGTATGGAAGACCTAGTCACCCACTGAGCTATGCGGACTTTTGACCCTCTGGTCACGCTGTGTATCAAATGCACACAGAGCACAATGAACATTCATCTCTTCAGGCAACACACATCTGTGTGGAACTACAGTGAGCACACAGCTCTGTAGACACACATGATGCTGCCAAGTCAAAAGGGAATGTGTTCAACGCTTTCAAGCAACACTGACACCAGTCATCATGACGGCTCAAGCGGATCTCCGTTGCTTTTCTTCCATCATACTGCAATTTAGCTTTTGTGCAACACTGCACTGGTTAAACTCAGTTCCGGAATGGTTTGGCGCAACGTGCAAAGAACCAATGTAAGTAACATTGCACACTTCATTTCGCCAATTGTATCGATGAGTCTCGATTTTGACCCAATGTGGGAAGAAATCGCATGCCAAGCATTGACATTCGATCGCTGGCCACAAAAAAGCAGGTCGGCAGTGATGCCGCATGTCAGTGCCTATCTTGAACTCAGTTCATGTTTTGTGGCGTTTTACATTTTCTTACTACAGCAATGAACGTTTCGTTTTGTGTAGTCACAGGAGTAAGTGACATGCTTTGGTGTTTCCACACGGCATCATGAGGGTCAGCAATGGAACACAGGAGATCCTGGCACACTTCATTCCGCCAATTGCAGGTCTGCAGTGATGCCGCATGTCAGTGCCTATCTTGAAGTCAGTTCATGTTTTGTGGCATTTTACATTTTCTTACTACAGCAATGAACGTTTGGTTTTGTGTAGTCACAGGAGTAAGTGACATAAGTGACATGCTTTGATGTTTCCACACGGCATCATGAGGGTCAGCAATGGAACACAAGAGATCCTGGCACACTTCATTCCGCCAATTGCAGGTCCGCAGTGATGCCGCATGTCGGTGCCTGGCTTGCACTCCTTTCATGTTTTGTGGCGTTTTACATTTTCTTACTACAGCAATGAACGTTTCGTTTTGTGTAGTCACGGGAGTAAGTGACATGCTTTGATGTTTCCACGCGGCATCATGAGGGTCAGCAATGCAACACAGGAGATCCTGGCATACTTCATTCCGCCAATTGGAGGTCTGCAGTAATGCTGCATGTCAGTGTCTAGCTTGAACTCTTTTCATGTTTTGTGGCATTTTGCATTTTCTTACTCCAGCAATGAACATTTCGTTTTGTGTAACCACAGCTGTGAGTGACGTGCTTTGCGGCCAGGTGCTTTTCCGATTTCGAATGCCAAGCAGATGACATTGGAGCGCTGGCGCAAAAAAAAAGCCCGCAATGATGCCGCATTCACACACACACACACCACTTTCACACATGCCATCTTTCACACACAACTTTGTCACACACACACACACATCATCATCATCATCTTTCTTTGTCACACACCAACTTTCATATGCAACTTTGTCACCACAACCTCCACCACCTCCTTTGTCTTTCCTTCCTTCCTCGCCCCCGCTACAACATTTGGTGCTCATTATTGGAAGAAGTTGACTTGTGGGGTTATCCGGTCCTTTGATTATTTAACCTGGAACCCCACAGGGGTGATTCCCACCTGGGTGCAGCATGCGGCACCCTGGGTGGTGGGCCACACTCTCGGCGGCAGCGGCCTGAAGCAGGCCCAAAATGCTGGGGAAACCCCGTAAACATCCATAGAAATTCTGTGATTTTTATTGATTTATGATTGGTTTATTGTCATGTTCCCTAACATGGTAATCTGTTGATATCTGCTGGCACTTTGTTGACCCCTTTCTGGCAAACTTTGAGAGATGAGGCAGCCCCAGAATCCCTTTGCCTGAGACCATGTACATGCCATCGTCTCCACAACTCGCTGTTGGCGTGCCGTTGTACATCTCATCACACTGGTAGCGCACCACCATGCCTTGTGGCGCAGTGAAGACCTTATAATTTGTGGCACACAACATACCAGAAGCGAAGAGGTTATAGTGTCGAAGACATAGGAAAATGGGCACATGTTGTGGACTCAACCTATTTAACTGCGGGAAACTGTGCATCAGGATGCGCAAAGTGAGTTAGTGCCAAGAAGACACAAACCTGCACAATACCATGGCCATAGGAAGTTTAGATGTCTAAACTCCGTGCGACGGATTTTTGAAGCTGCGGGTAAAGATGAAAATGTGAAGAGAGTAGAGATGTGAAGAGAATAGAGACGTGCAGAGAGTAGAGATGTGCAGAGAGCAGAGATGTGCAAAGAGTAGAGGTGTGCAGAGACTAGAGATGTGAAGAGAGCAGAGATGTGCAGAGAGCAGAGATGTGAAGAGAGTAGAGATGTGAAGAGAGCAGAGATGTGCAGAGAGTAGAGATGTGAAGAGAGTAGAGATGTGCAGAGAGGAGAGATGTGCAGAGAGTAGAGATGGGAAGAGAGCAGAGATGTGCAGAAAGTAGCGATATGAAGAGAGTAGAGATGTGAAAAAAGTAAAGAATGTGAAGCAAGCAGGTCAGTGAAGACTAGAGATGTAAAGAGAGTAGAGAAGTGAAGAGAGTAGAGATGTGAAAAGAGGAGAGATGTGAAGAGACTAGAGATGTGAAAAGAGTAGAGATGTGAGAAAGTATAGGTGTGAAGAAAATAGAGAAACGAAGAGAGTAGAGAAGTGAAGAGAGTAGAGCTGCGAAAAAAAAAAATAGAGATGCAAAGAGAATAGAGATGTGAAGAGAACTAGAGTGTGAGAAGAGATTAGAGATTTTGAAACTGTGAGTAGAGACGAAAATGCGCAGAGAGTAGAGATGGGAAAAAAGTAGGGATGTGTAGAGACTAGAGACGTGCAGAGAATAGAAATGTGAAGAGAGTAGAGGCGTGCAGAGAGCAGAGATGTGCAGAGAGTAGAGATGTAAAGAGAGTAGAGATGTGCAGAGAGTAGAGATGTGAAGAGAGCAGAGATAAAGTAGAGATGTGAAGATAGTAGAGAAGTGAAGAGAGTGGAATTGCCGCGTAAAGTTGATGCTTGGAAGGTAGGAATCGCACGCAACCTGTGTTTTCTTGCATAAAGTGGCTCCCGGCGTCGATGTGGGGAACCTTGTTTGTGCGATGGGTGCGGCTTTTGTTCGTTTTGCGCTCGGACGCGTCCTCCACTACAAAGTTGAATTCAGGTTTGCAGATCGCAGTGGAATGGCTGCATCCATGTTGCTGATTGCCGTGGTGGTCGATGCAGTTGTATTGCGATTTGCAGTTCAGTGATCGCAGATCGCAGTGGAACTGCTTGTCAAGTGATGTTTGGACGGTAGGACTCGCACAAAACCTTTGCGTTTTCTCGCAAAAAGTCCTGGGGCGAGCTGAAGAACCAAAAGTCAAGAGTAGATGGATTTTATGGAGCATCTGATCCAGAAGAAAGCAAGGAAGTGAAGAGAATAGGGAAGTGAAGTCAGTGGGGACACGAAAGAAAAGGGAAGTGACGAGAAAGGGAAGTGAAGAGATAGGGAAGTGCAGACTGAAAAAGGTAGAAGTGAAGAGGAAAGAGAAATGAGGAGAGGGGCTCCAAAGCTGTCAGCAAAAAAGGGGATGTCAAGATTCAGAGATGACAAGCGCAAACCGGATCAAGAGAAAGTGGCATCATCAAACAACGATGCCAAGATAAAGCAATGTCAGGGAGAAAAAGACGTCCAGACGAGCAGCAAGCAACCCGAAGATTCAGAAATGTCAGGAGCAAGCCGGATCAAGAGAAAGTAGCAGCATCAGACAAGCTGGGGAAAAAAAACAAATGTCAAGGACAAAGAGCTCCAAGAAATCAAGGAGTCAATTGCCGTGCCAGCCAGGGGAGCCGTCGTTCCTACAGGCTCTTCCTTGTCTTTATAACCTGTTCTCCTTCTCAAAACTGCCGCCGCCCGGGTTGCTGGGGCTCTACTTATACAGCTGTTCCACGCTCCATTGAATCTGGCCAGTTGTTTGGAAAAAATGAGGCAAAGAAAATCGACTGGTGCCTTGTAAGATGTCTTTAAACCGCTTCATTAGGATGTCCTCAAGTTGGGGATCCCCCAGACCACATGCTAGCGTTTGTGAAACGTGTCCAACTCACTGCTTCATTCTTGTTTAAGGTTTGGGAATCACTTGCGACGGTTTTTTGGGATCACTTGTGACATTTGACATGGATCACTTGTGACGATTTCGGTCCTACCCCCCATTGGGGGTTGGGGTGGGGCGGGATAGGGTGGGTGTAACGTCTGCAATTCAGCTTACACACAGAGTGGAAGTTGATCTGCAATTGACTTTCACTGACACTCACACAGGCTCAACGCCATCCTTGATACGGGGAGGTGGTGGGGTGGGGTGGGGTGGTAAGCGTGCCAATCAAAAAACTTTGCCAGAGGCCTTGAGAAGCCGTTACACACGATCAAAAAGAAACACATTACGAGCAATCCCCGGCGGTTTATCAATTCTTATCAATCCCAGACTTCCAAGCCCTTTCAAACCCTCATCACAATGTCACACAGCATCTTTGCAGCTTATGGTTTTTAATGTTGTTACGGGGAACTGAATGATTCCACGCCTGTGCTCACATTGCCCTGCGATGGATCCCACAAGGCTTCAGCGTGCGCAACTTGTGGAGGTGTGCTACAGGTCACCTGGTACCAGGTGCGCCCCTGCATGGGATGAGAAAAAAAAACTGCAAGTGGAGAGTTAACAACCTATGATTCTGGTTGGTAGCTAACCCTAGTTAACCATAGTTAACCATAGCTAACCATAGCGAACCATAGCTAACCATAGCTAACCATAGCTAACCGTAGCTAACCATTGAACCATAGTTGACCATAGTTAGCCATAGCTAACCATAGTTAACCACAGTTAACCGTAGTTGAACATAGCTCACCATAGTTAACCATAATTAACCATAGTGAACCATAGTGACCCATAGCGAACCATAGTTAACCATAGCTAACCATAGTTAAGCATAGTTGACCATAGTTGACCATAGTTGGCCATAGTTGACAAAACCTGGCACTAGTTGACAATAGCTGACCATAGCTCACCATAGCTCACCATAGCTCAACATAGCTCACCATGGCTAACCATGGCTCACCATGGCTCAGCATGGTTCACCATAGCTAACCATAGCTCGCCATGGCTAAACATAGCCCACCATAGCTCACCATAGCTAACCATAGCACACCAAGGCTAACCATAGCTAACGATAGCTAGCAATAGCTAACCATAGAGAAACATAGCTAACCATAGTTAACCACACCTAATCATAGCTAACCAAAGCTAAACATAGTTAGCCATAGTTAACCATAGTTTCCCATATTTGACAAAAGTTGACCATGGCTAACCATAGCTGACCATAGTTGACCATAGTTGAACATAGCAAACCATAGTTGTCCATAGTTGACCATAATTCATAATAGCTAACCATAGCTCACCTTAGTTAAACATAGTTGACCATAGTTAACCATAGTTAACCATATTTGACCATAGCTGACCATAGTTGACCATAATTAACCATAGTTGACCATAGTTGGCCACAATTGACCATAGTTAACCATAGCTAACCATAGCCAACCATAGTTAACCATAGCTAACCATAGCTAACCATAGTTAGCCAAAGTTAACCATAGTTAACCATAGTTAACCATAGCTAAACATATTTGACCATAGTTGACCATAGTTAAACATAGTTAACCATAGTTGACCATAGTTGACCATAGTTAAACATAGCTAACCATAGTTAACCATAGCTAACCACAGTTCACCACAACTAACCATTTCTGACCATATTTAGACATAGCTAACCACACTTAACCATAGTTGACCATAGTTAACCGTTGCTTACCATAGTGGACCAAAGTTAACCACAGCCGACCATAGCAAACCATAGTTGACCATAGCTAGCCATAGTTAACCATAGTTGACGATAGTTAACCATAGTTGACCATAGTTGACCATAGTTGACCATAGTTAACCATGGTTAACCATAGTTCACCATAGTTAACCATAGCTAAACATAGTAACCATAATTAACAATAGCTCACCATAGCTCACCATAGTTAACCATAGTTGACCATGGTTAACCATATTTGACCATAGTTGACCATAGTTGACGATAGTTCACCATAGCTAACCATCGCTAACCATAGTTAACCACAGTTCGCCACAGCTAACCATAGCTAACCATAGTTAGCCTTAGCCATAGCCAACGATAGTTGACCATAGCTAACGATAGCTAACAATAGTTAACCATAGTTAACCATTGTTAACCGTAGCTAACCATAGTTAACCGTAGTTGACCTTAGCTAACCATACTTAACCATAGTTAAACATAGTTGACCATAGTGGACAATAGTTGACCATAGTGGACCACGGTCGTCCATAGTTAACCATAGTTAACCATAGTTAACCACAGTTCACCGCAGCTCACCATACTTTACCATAGTTAGCCATTGCTAACCATAGTTGACCATAGCTAACCATACTTAACCATAGTTAAACATAGTTGACCATAGTGGACCATAGTTGACCATAGTGGACCACGGTCGTCCATAGTTAACCATAGTTAACCATAGTTCACCACAGTTCACCACAGCTCACCATACTTAACCATAGTTAGCCATTGCTAACCATAGTTGACCATAGCTAACCATACTTAACCATAGTTAAACATAGTTGACCATAGTGGACCATAGTTGACCATAGTGGACCACGGTCGTCCATAGTTAACCATAGTTAACCATAGTTAACCACAGTTCACCACAGCTCACCATACTTAACCATAGTTAGCCATTGCTAACCATAGTTGACCATAGCTAACCATAGTTAATCATAGTTGACCATAGTTAACCACAGCGAGCCATAGTTGACCATAGCTAACCATAGTTGACCATATTTGACCATAGTTGACCATAGTTCAGCATAGTTGACCATATTTCACCATAGTTAACCGATAGCTCACCATAGCTCACCATAGCTCACCATTGGTCACCATGGCTCAACATTGCTCACCATGGCTCACCATACCTAACCATAGCTCACCATGGCTAACCATAGCCCACCATAGCTCACCATAGCTATTCAAAGTTAACCATAGTTGGCCATAGTTGACCATAGCTCACCATAGCCAACCATAGCTAACCATAGCTAACCATAGCTAACCATAGTTAGCCATAGTTAGCCATAGTTAACCATAGCTAACCATATTTGAATTATTTGACAATAGTTGACCATAGTTAACCATAGCTAGCCATAGTTAACCATAGCTCACCAGGTAAGTATAGTTAACCATAGCTAACCATAGCTCACCATAGTTGACATTGTTGACGATAGTTAACCATAGTTGACCATAGTTAGCCATAGTTAACCACAGTTAACCATAGTTGACCATAGTTAACCATAGCTAACCATAGTTGACCATAGTTAACCATAGTTGACCATAGTTAACCATAGCGGACCATAGCAAACCATAGTTGACCATAGTTAGCCATAGTTAACCACAGTTAATCATAGTTGACCATAGTTAACCATAGCTAACCATAGTTGACCATAGTTAACCATAGTTGACCATAGTTAACCATAGCCGACCATAGCAAACCATAGTTGACCATAGTTAGCCATAGTTAACCATTGTTGACCATAGTTGACCATAGTTGACCATAGTTAACAATAATTAACCTACTATCATGAAAATTGATGATACGAATCAAAGTCCTGGCACCTCCACGCAGGCACCTTCCACAATCCAAGTCCTGGGTCCAGTGGCTGGACTTGGACTGAAATTCCTGCAGGATCCCTTTATGGCTATTGAAAAGGGACAGTGAATGAACATTCTGACTCAGTACTCATGAATAATCATAAAATTTTGTGCACCATGTTTTGAGACAAACGCAAATGACTGAAAATGCTTCTCTGCAGTCAAGGAGCCCAGTGACATTGCAATGAGCAGAGAGGCTGCCCCAGTATCCAGGTTTGTCCTCGGCCATCTGTTGCCCCAGTTGCGAATCCATGTGTCGCATTCATTGAAGCAAGGTGAATGGCCTCTGCGATTCTATATCTTCAGACTGGGGGAATCAATCCACCTGCATGTCTTGAATTCACCAAATGGCTATACAATCACAAACAAGCAAATTCTAGCAGGCTTCTCTCCCCCACGCCAACGCAACATCCCTCTGCCACGGCACGCAGTCGTAGTGGATCGTGACCCCATATGTCCAATTTTGCCGCTTGATGTCCTCAACACCAAAGTTCAGCGTGAACCAAAGATATGAACCCCTGGTTGATTCTTAAAAATTGTTTGTATGGTTTTCAAAGCTTTGCAAAGCTTTGCAAAGCTTTTCCAATTTTCCACTAGTTCTCATTTTGGGGTACCCACCATCCCAAATCCGACATCGCCATGGGGCCATGACCCAAGTCCCTGTGGCCAAGCGTCGCTCATGCGCGGCGTGGCGTGAGGCAAGCGCGGTGGGGCGCCACAACTGATGGCATCGCAAGAGCCCTGCCAGCTGTAGTGTCCTACGTGTTGAACAAGTCTTCTGCCGCAAATTCATACACATCAGGTATCCATGCAGAACCACTATATATATATATCTCTCTATACACGTATAAATTTGTATATATATATATATATGTAAAAAATATTTGTATACATACATACATACATACATACATACATACATACCAATACATACCAATACATACCAATACATACCAATACATACCAATACATACCAATACATACCAATACATACCAATACATACCAATACATACCAATACATACCAATACATACCAATACATACCAATACATACCAATACATACCAATACATACCAATACATACCAATACCATACCAATACCATACCAATACCATACCAATACCATACCAATACCATACCATACCATACCATACCATACCATACCATACCATACCATACATACATACATACATACATTACAATGCATACATTACAATACATACAATACAATACATACATTACAATACATCTCTCGGACATTCGTCTCAAGTCACGCGAACGTGTGAGACCGGTGCGCACGCCGACGAGTATTTCGTGAGCGTACGGACCTTTTCCGCAAATTAATTAAATGCAGCTGCCCGCGTCGGGGAAAAGCGAATTGGGTCGCAAGTTCCTGCAAGGCCCAAGGGTCCAGACAGCAGATGCGACCAGAATACCTAGCAAATCGGCGCAAATTGCTGGCAGCGAGCAGGGGCGTGCCAGAGAATGCAAACCATCAAAAGTGAAAAATGAAGAGCGGGCCGTGCCGCACGAAGGCAAAACCCAGCAAATGCAATCAATATACGAATTTACTGGCCAACGGCGGTTGCGTTGGACCAGCGCAACGAGGTGGCCTTTCCAACATCAGTGGCCTCCAGCTTGATCAAGTTCGAACCACGAATTGCAACACATCGATCATTGTGCACACGGACTCCGTACCTGTCATTGGCAGTGCGGCTGGGGATAACGATGCCTTTGACGCCGTTCAGGCTGTCATCAGAGAGGCCGGTCAGCAGCACTTGGTCACCAACGCGAATGCATTCATTTGACTTGTCTGCCATTGCAATGCCTTGGCTGTCAGGTAGGACATCGAGGTTGCAAGGGCGGATTGCAACCTGACCACCATTCGACAAAAGCACACCGTAACGGCCAGAACGAAGGCACGTGGTTACTGTACCGGTTTGCCCGTTCATACCGGCCGTCTTGAGGCCTCTCAGAACAACTTGTTCACCAGTAGCATATGCCGACTTTTGGACCTGTGGCAGGACAAGATTGTGGTCGCAAATGTCATGCTTCACAGCTCCCAGGCCGGAAGAATTCCAATCAACCTGCAAATCTTCCAAGCCTGCCTGTTGCGCAAACACCCTCATAGCATGTTCCAGCAACTCATCATCAAAGCCCCTTTCCTTGGTGCGCACCTCCACCACCCGGGCACGGGAAGGAGTCCGCTTTGTTGTGCGAACATGAGGTTTTCTAGACGAGCTCGAAGCAGATTGCGATATCTGATCTGAAAAGGGCAGGTGACGAGCCAGACAAATCTCCACGCGCGGGCCATCCGCAGGAACGTCACAAGACCCGTGCCCCGCCTGCGGGCGGTCACTGCCGAGAAATCCACAACATGGGCATGGCATGCACTGATGCAGGGCCATTGCGAAATGAAATGGCATCCATGCCTGCCACACAAACCAATGCCATAAGAATGGGTCCGGCACAGGAATCACAACGTAAGGTGAGTCAGCGCGGAGCGCCATGGCAAGGACGAAGGCAGATCGCCACGGAGATACAGCGGGGGAGCCTGAACTGAACAGCAAGACACAAGGGCGCGAACGCAAGGAGCCAACGCCGCCCTGAATCACGGCCGGAACGCCACAGCCGCCAGACGGAAAAGCCACGAACAGCACAAGACCCAAGCACCTGATGTGAGATCACAAAGGAAGGGCACAAGACGAATAAGGGGACAGAAACACCTGAGAGCACAAAAGCCAAGGACCTGAAAGAAAGAGAAACAGGACCTGAAAGCAAAGAGAACACCGGGGTTCAAAACCAAACAAAAGCACTCCTCAAGCTATCTGTCGAAACGGCCCCACCACTGGAAGGTTGCTTGAGCCAAGGGCTCATACATTACAATACATAGATTACAATACATACATTACAATACATACATTACAATACATAGATTACAATACATACATTACAATACATACATTACAATACATACATTACAATACATACATTGCAATACATACATTGCAATACATACATTACAATACATACATTACAATACATACATCAATACATACATTACAATACATACATTACAATACATACATTACAATACATACATTACAATACATACAATACAATACATACATTACAATACATAGATTACAATACATACATTACAATACATACATTACAATACATACATTACAATACATACATTACAATACATACATTACAATACATACATTACAATACATACATTACAATACATACATTACAATACATACATTACAATACATACATTACAATACATACATTACAATACATACATTGCAATACATACATTACAATACATACATGACAATACATACATGACAATACATACATGACAATACAAACATGACAATACATACATTACAAAACATTCATATCAATACATACATACATACATACATGCATGCATGCATGCATGCATTCATACATTACATACATTACATTCATTATATGCATTACATACATTACATGCACTACATACATTACATACATACATTGCATACATACATCCATCCATCCATCCATACATACATACATACATATTTACATACATACATACATACATACATATTTACATACATACATTATATACATTACATACATACATACATACATACATGCATGCATACATACATACATTCATTCATTCATTCGTACATACATACATACACAGCATGCATAACATACATAGCATACATAACATACATACATACCTACCTACCTACCTACCTATGTACATACATACATACATACAACACATACAAACATTGCATATATATACACTACATACATTACATACACATACATTACATACATTACATACATTACATACATAACATACATACATACATACATACATACATGCATGCATGCATGCATACATACATACATACATGCATACATGCATGCATGCATGCATACATACATACATACATTACATGCACTACATAAATACATACATACATACATATATACCAATACATACCAATACATACCAATACATACCAATACATACCAATACACACCAATACATACCAATACATACCAATACATACCAATACATACCAATACATACCAATACATACCAATACCATACCAATACCATACCATACCATACCATACCATACCATACCATACATACATACCATTACATTACATTACATTACATTACTAATTACATTACATTACATTACATTACATACATACATACAATACATACAATACATACATTACATACATTACATACATTACATACATTACATACATAACATACATACATACATACATACATGACATGACATGACATGACATGACATGACATGACATGAGATGACATGACATGACATGACATGACATTACATTACATACATACATACATTACAATCCATACATTACAATACATACATTACAATACATACATGACAATACATACATGACAATACATACATGACAATACATACATGACAATACATACATTACATACAATTACATACACTACATACATTACATACATTCATTACATACATTCATCCATCCATCCATCCATACATACATACATATTTACATACATAAATACATACATACATACATACATGCATGCATGCATGCATGCATGCAGGCATACATACATTCATACATACATACATACATTACATACATACATGCATGCATGCGTGCATACATACATACATACATAGATACAGACATACATACAGACATACATACAGACATACAGACGTACAGACATACAGACATACAGACATACATACATACACACATACATACATTACATACATACATACATACATACATACCATACCATACCATTACATTACATTACATTACATTACATTACATTACATACATACAATACATACAATACATACAATACAATACAATACAATACAATACAATACAATACAATACAATACAATACAATACAATACAATACAATACATACATACATACCTACTGCAAGCACGCCCACACCAACGGGCTCAGCTGTCTTTTTGCTCGCGGAGAGTCTCGCGGTAAGCGGAGCTACGTTCGCTACTCCTAGAAAAGCAAGCTATGCTACCCTTGCAGCACAACTTGAGCCAAAATAGGCATGTGCAACAACTGTACAACATGCAACATGAAAAACTACGGGGCAGATACATATTATACATATCATTGGGCCGCGTATGTTGGCAAGATCTCACGCGGATGATCCCTCAGGTTACAACTTATACTTTACAAGGCCTTATAATAAGCCTTTTAACTATATATATATATATTTATATTATATAATTATGTATATATATTACCTGGTCCAAGATAGGATATGACCCAAGTACTAGCCGTTACCAGCCACTTTGCCAAGTTCAAAGGTCATCCCCACTTGAATTTTCAGGCGCACCCCATGCGGGCACACCCCATAATGCGGTCCTTGAGCAGAACAGCTGAGTGATGGTGTGGAGTAAGGTGTGGCAAAATGTCCGGGCGCACAGCCCATCAGCGTTTGGGAGCACAGCGGCAGCCATGCTCCAGCCACCCCAGGACTACTCCAGCGGCGAACGGTATCGTTCAGCAAGGCGAAGTGAAGGTCACTGCGGGTTTCCAGGAAATGGGCGAGATCGCCTTCACCTGCCACGGCCAGCAAAGCCATTCATATATCTATAACATACAAATATATATATATATATACTCATATTTATATTATTGTCACTGTTGTTATTCTTATTTTTATTTATTATTGTTGCAAGTGACTAGAGCACACAATAAGTACTTCAACCACATTTCTCAAATTCATTTCACCAAGCTGTGTGTCCGCAGCTACTTTTTCCCAACTCAAAATCCGAAACGTTACGACGAAATAGGTGCTGCTGAGCGGGAGATTGTGAACGTACTCTGGGGGCTATCCTTTCCAGGTTATGAGCCAACGCTCTGAGGAAGGCCAACGCTCTGAAAAAGACCACCGTTGAAAGGTAGCTATTTGGCATGTTCACCAGAAGAAGAGCCACAGAAGCCGAACTTCGACAAGGTGAAGACGAAATGAAGAAGGCGCAACAACGCTTAGAATCTGAGCTTGCAAGTGGAACTGAGCCGCAGTTAGAAGATGTGAAAAAACCTGAGGCAGTAGAAGTCTATGAATCACCTAGGGTTCCAAAAAGGGATGAACCGCTCGGAACTGAGGATGGACCAAAAAATGCCCCGAAGTCTTTTCCACCTCCTGTTCCTGACCCGTCAGATCAAGGATTAGCTGCAAGGTCTTCAGACAAGCATGCAAGGTCACCCGTCCGTGCTAAGTCGGAACCGAAAACACCAAGGAAAACTGAGGAAACACCGTCAAAGCGTTCTGAGGGAAATCTGCCAATGCAAACTCCTCAGGTTGCTGATGAATCTTCGAAATCGCTGGCGGTTGCTGTGACTGATGCTTCGGCCGTGAAGTCGGAAGCGAATATGCAGGGTGCTTCAAATGGACCTCAAAGTGCAGGAAACGTTTCAGAACGAGCGCAACGAGTTGTTCCATCTAGCACTGCATCTATGTCTCAGGCCGTGATTTCACCAACTCAACCTTTGTTTGACGAGCAACAGCTGAGGCAGTTCCAGGAGATGTTCAATCAAGCTCCTTGGCTGTACCCTGGTGCGCAACCATTGATGATGCCACAGTTAACTATGCCCCCTCAAATTGCCAGACCACGATTCTTGGAACAAGATGAACGTAGGGTTCAAGGATCTTTGCAAGTTGGGGAAGCACTACAATTCGTTTTTCCTTACGGACAAAAGGAAGGCCAAAATCCAAGACTTCAAGAAATCCCTTTTCAATCCAGACTTGATTTAGAAATGCTGATGGAAGAAAACAAGAAACTTCGAGAACGTGTCTTGGCTTCGGAGAGTCAGAAGGAAGAGGAGTTCTCGACGCCCAATGGGGAACAAAAGGGGGCTGAGACCACCATAAAGGAGGCTGTGAGACCCCCAAAGACTGAAGCTGAAGAGACGCGAAATTTCCGAAGTAAAGAAGCTGAGACCACCAATGAGGCCGCCGGCCCCAAAGGTCCAACAATGACGGAACTGCTAGCTTTACCGAGAAGTCTCTGGAATTCATGTCCCTCATGATGGATTCCATGAAAGAGATGCAGAAACGAATGCAAGAACCTAGAGACGAATTGGGATGGTAAGAGGAATCGAAACCATACGGCCTGGAAGTCCTGACCTACCTCCTCTGGCTCCATGGGAAGCAGCACAAGGACCTCTGATTCTTGGAGATTGGCTGCTGCTAGCAGAACCGATCATAACAAATCTTTCATTGACGGCTGCTGAATGGTGGACAGATGTGGTCTGCGCTGCCGAGGCTTGGTACAAGCACCACATGTCTCTCAGTCCATTGGATCGTATCAAACATCCTGCGGAAGCGCCTCTGGCGTTGTGTCAGGAAAAATTGCAACGAGTGGAACGTCGAGTAGCATCTATGATCCTGCAGTCAGCACCTTCACAGGTGAGAGACGAGTTGGCAGCTTCAAGACGATTATCAACCTTTGGAATCTTGACCTACTTGCTAGTCACATATAGTCCAGGTGGAGTATCTGAGAAGCAGTTTGCTGCGCAACCTAGAAGATCCTCCAGAGATCCAGAATGCCTTGGACGGCCCAATTGCCTTGAGACGGTGGCTCCGGTGGAGGACAAGAACGAAAGAGATTGGTGCAATTGTCCCTGACCCAGAACTACAATTGAAAGGGTTGCTAAAGATGACCAAAAGAACCTTGGAAATTCAGGGTATCCTTGGTAAGATCAGGGTTGCAAGTGGACACAACACCGAGTGAAGTCAATGTGGAGCAGTTTGCATACCACTTGTTGGCCGAGTTTGAACAACTTGCCCTCACAGAAAAATGTCCTGGAACTCGAAGTGATCCACAAAAGCCGAAACCTCAAGAAGCCGAGAAGCCGAAGGTTTCCAAATTTAAGAAGTTAGAAGAAGAAACGAAGTCCCCTCCGAGAAGAGAGGTCCCTAGGGAAGAGAAACCCAAATGCAAGCTCTATTTGAGCGAACAAGGTTGCCGACGTGGAAAAGCTTGCAACTGGTCGCATGATCAAAAGGATGAGCGCCGACGATGTTGGAACTGTGGAAGCCCTGGGCACATGGCTCCAGCTTGCACTCGTCCAAAAGAACGAGGTGATGCATCTCCAACGAAGCCCAGGATTCAGAAGGTTGAGGGGGAGGATTCATCATCTACAAGCTCAAAGGTAAAAGAAGAAGAAGGGTCAATCGAAGGCCCGTCTATGAAAGAGTTGTTGGAGCAAGCCAACACCATGCTGAAATCTTTGACTTCGACTGCTGCATCCTCAAAGTCGACTGGGAGTGCCACTGACTCCAGAGAAGATGTCATGGAACGACTCCAGACCCAATTGGATCAGCTGAAACTCAAGGTCTTTAAAAAGTCTTCACGGACTTGTAGACTCTGGTGCAACACACCCTCTACGACCCCGACGTCTTGGAGAAGGTGGTGAAACCTATAAGCGTGTTTCTGTCACGCTAGCCAATGGAGAGACGACTTCATTGCAAGTGACCTCTGGCGGCATCATGGTGACTGAAAGAGCCGATGTCGAACCAATACTCCCGATGGGTCAACTTGTTCATGACCTTGGTTGCGAAGTTTGCTGGAAGAATGGTGACTTGAAGATCCTTCATCCACGCCAAGGTCTACTCCCAGTGCAAAACCGAAAGGATGCCCTCAATTACCACGAGCTCTAGCCTTGGACTTGATCGAGGAAATGGAGGTGGTGGGAAGTCAAAGAACTATGAGAAGTGTGAAGTTTAGAAAGAGCAGAAGTGGATGGAGGAGTTGATCCAAAGTCACCCTGTTCTCCGTGAACTTCCACAACGAATCAAAGACCGACTTTTGGTCGATGTGGGCGATCGGAAAGATCTGCCAATCAATCGACGCCAAAGAAAACGTCTTCAGCGCGATGGCTGTTTGGTGCATCTATATGCTGGAGAAGATGATGGGTTTACCCTGTCAAGAGTGGTGAGTCCCAAAACATGCTGAACGATGTTGGAACGTATTCTGGTCTCCTTTGCGCTGTCATGCATGACAAGGTGGATGCCTTCATTGCCGGACCCAATTGCAGAACGAGATCGGTCCCCCGGCATTACCCGAAGAAAATGCTCCGCGACCAATCCGAGCGTGGCATGGAGCTGAACATGGTCTGTCTCTGACCTAAAACCTGTGGAACAACGACAGTTGGATGAAGATGATGTCTTGATGTGGCGATTCATTTTTCTATGGATGGTTGCAACATATCTACGACAAGCACGAGAAGTTCAAAAGCCTGTGGGGTTCCTGCTGGAACAACCTGCGTCGCCTCGGCACTATATGCCGGAATGTGTATCCTTTTGGGATACAAAAGAATGGAAAAAGCTTGAGGAGGAGTTCAACTTTGAAGAGACTACCTTCTCGCAAGATCGACACGGAGGTGCCGCAACAAAGCCAACGACTATGGCTGGCAACTTGAACCTCAACGTCGACATGTCAATGAGATACCTGGAACTATGAGTATGGTCGCTGAAGCCTTCCTCGCCCAGATTGTTCATTGCCAACCAAAGCTCGCGCAGCTGAGCTGGCAAGAACATCTACAACATGGTCATGTGCCTTTTTCACGATTGTTTGGTGTGCCAACAAAGTCTTCAACAACAGCCACCTCATCGAAAAGTCAAGCATCCTCTTGGTGGAGTTCTTTCAGTTGACAGTTGAAACCGCTGGACCATTTGTCCGAGCCTATGATGCTGGAGGTTACAAAACCGCCTACATCCTTGTGGAAGCCCTCACATGGACGGTGCCAAAAGGTTCACCATTGAAGGAGGATGAAGTTGAGGAGCTGGAAGAAGAAGCCCCTAACTTTGACGCGAAGAAGGGTGAAGAACTTTAGATCAAGTACAAATCGAAGATGAACCAACTGAACATGAAGCAGTTCAAGGCATCTTCGACGACCCTGAAGATGAAAATGAAGAACCTGAAGTACAAAAGGCCTCGGAGGGCGAATCCGAAAAGAAAGAAATAAAAGCAGAAGAAGAAAAGAAAGAAGGCGAGGAGGAAGAAAAGCCTGCAGAATTTGAGACAAGGGTTTTTTCGACTTCACTCTCCAATGTACTCCAAAAAAGCCAAAGAAGTTACAAGGGTCACCATGGACATGCTTCTTCGACTGCGAGCTGATGGATTTCACAAAGGCCACATACACGGCGACCAAGGGCATGAATTCCAAGGTCAGTTCAAAGTTTGGCGTCGTGAACGTGGAATTCACCTCACTAGAACTCCCGGTGATGACCCTCGATCGAACGGCCGTGCTGAATGTGCTGTGAAAACAATCAAACCCAGATTCGCCGAATTCTACTGCGAGCTGAAGCTCCGGGATCTTGGTGGCCCTGGGCAACAAGGTTTGTCAACGAGCTCAATAGTGCTGCTCGAATCAGAAAAAGGCCAGATTGGCCACCATTCCTCTACTGTCATGGTCCGAAATCGAAAGTGGCGTCGTGGCATATTTGAAGTTTCCACAGAGGGTGCAAGTACCTGTGCCCGTCACCTGAAGACCATGGTCATTGGATCCTACCTGAAGGTTAACGCCCTCGCATCACCAAGCTCATCATGAAACCTGCTCAACTTCCAGTCACTGAAGAAGGCTGGATTGCTTTGGAAAGAGAAGCAGCTGATGCAGTCATGGTGAGACGAAGGTTGCGCGGAAAGCCCGCAATCCGAACGATGGAGGAGAAAGACCAGGTTGAGGACGAAGAGGAAGCTGAAAAGAAGAGAAGAGTAAAGATTTTAAGAGTGACCGAAGAAGAGATGAGAAGAATGGTGGAGGATGATGCGGAGTTGGCCCTGGAAGAGCTTCAAATCCTTTCGAAGCTGAAGAAGTTAGCGGTCATGCCAAATGAGGAGGAGGAAGTCTTGCAGACCAAAATCGTATCTCCCCGAGAAGTAGCTGAAAACTGGGAAGAATGGCTTCCTGCAGTCCGCAGCGAAGTTGAGTCCCTGCTGAACGAGAAAGAAGCTTTTCGTGAAGTATTCCCAGAAGAACTTCACAAGCTGAAAGAAGATGCAGAAAAGAAAGGAAAGGGGATCGAACATATCCCGTCCAAGCTGGTATTCACCAGAAAATCTGGCCCTGATGGGGGCAAAAAGAAAGTATGGTGGGTTGCATGCGGAAAATTAGAACCCCGCCGTGAAGAAGAAGACAACTTCAGTAGTGGAGCTGATACTTCAGCTCTCGGCATCCTGGTCTGGGTAGCTGCCCGTGGCCCATGGTGTGCAACAACTCTGGATGTGAGAACAGCTTTTCTTAATGCCAAGATGGTCCAGTCAGAGGACGAAGACTTGCTGTTGGTGAAGCCTCTTTACCTCTTCACTGAAAAGAAGTTTATGGGAAAGGACGTCCTCTACAAGCCTGAGAAAGCCATCTACGGCTTCCGTCGATCTCCAAAATTGTGGGGTTTGACTAGAGATGAAACTATCAATGGCTTTAACATTGAGGGGGAGCATGAAGGGAGATCCATGAACTTTGTCCTCGAGCCTCTTCAATCTGAACCAAATCTATGGAAGTTGCAAAATGCTGATGACGAAGGTGACTTGACGGTTTATGGACTCTTGATGACCTATGTGGACGATCTCTTGATTGCAGCTCCAGAACCTCTCATGTTGGCTGTCCAGAACAGGATTCAATCAACATGGACTACGTCAGGTCCTGAGCCAGTATCCAGCACTCCGGCACGTTTCCTTGGGATGGAAATCTCTAAACTCTGCAACACAGAGACCAAAAGAGATGTGTGGATGCTGACACAACGAAGCTATACACTTGACTTGGTCCAGAAGGAGAATGAAAACGTAAAGCCGAAGAAGATTCCACTGTCACGAGATCAATCTGCGATGGAACCAAAGGAGGAGTCACCTTTGATCGAAAAAGTTCGATCAGCCCAGAAAGCTGTGGGTGAAGCCTTGTGGCTTACAACAAGAGCGAGGCCAGACATCATGTACGTTGTCTCTAGCATGCGCTCTGCTGTTACGAGGGCTCCAGAGGCTGTGATGTTGGCTGGCACTCAAAGGCTATTTGGCCACCACTGCTGCTGAAGGTCTGAAATTCGATGTGGAAGAAAACGAACTTCCTGCGTTGACCGTCTACACGGATGCCTCCTTTGCCCCTGGCTCTGAGGAATTCCATGGCTCTTTCATCGTCCTTCTGGGATCATCTCCAATTTTCTGGAGGTCAGGCAGACAGGGATTCGTAACTCTGTCTACAGCTGAAGCAGAACTCACTGAAATCATTGAAGGCATGATCGCTGGAGAAAGCATCCATGTGATCTTAGCAGAACTTTTCCCTGAAGTTCCAAAACTGGTCAAGACCGACAACATGCCTGCCCTTGCCATACTCACAGGCGATGGAGGAAGCTGGCGCACTCGCCATTTGGAGCTGAGAGCGGCCTTTGCAAGGCAAGCCGTAGCTGCAGCTGAGTGGGCGGTCCAACATGTACCTGGTGAATCAATGGTGGCCGACATTGGAACAAAGCCGTTGACTGCTGCGCGTTTGAACTTCCTAAAGAACCTCATGGGCATGGGAAAGTCTTGCGACCCAAATGAGAATGAAGTCAAAATTGAAGCGAAAGAAAAAGAAGAAAAGAAGGACAACCGGTTGGTCAACAAAGAGTTGAAGAAAAGGCTTGCGCAAACAACGCAAGTGCTGCAGCTCATCACCTTAGCTGCAACTCTTTCTGTTTCAAAAGCGGAAGAAGGAGAAAAAGCTGATGCGGATAGATCCTTTTCTTTTGGGATTATCGTGATCTATACCCTACTGGTTATCTTTCTTACTCTGGTGGCACAATAGAGTCTATTGGATGTTTCAGTACAAAGAGCCGAATTCGTCACACGACAGTGTGTTTTTCGAGCTCAATCTGGAAGTCACGCCGAGGATGCTGTGGTGGAAAATGAGCCATCTCGAAGAGATCGACTTGAACCTTTGGTGGAAGAAAGTCCCACTGCCACGGGAGGAGAAGATCCAGAACATGTCAATCCGCAACCAGTTCAACATGATGCACCGAGATCAAATCGGAATGCTCCGCAACCAGATCCAGAGCCACAAAGCCCAAGACCAACAAGTTCACAATCTACCGACCTCACAAATGCATTGGCTGCTTTGCGAGTACATGACGCATCGATGCCAGATTATGAAGCCGAGTGGAGAGAAATCGACCAGGAAGAGGGCTTGGTGCGAGAGGAGCTCACTCAAGCTCTTCCAGGCGACCCTCGTCTGGGACCTCTTCAACATCAAACTCTGCGACGCAGAGCCCTAATGCCTGCATTACCAGAACTTCCATTTTAAGGTGATCACACGGGCTTTGGAACGGTATATCATACGCGATATAACATGGTCTCAAACTTCAGATCCCGCAACTCCCAAGAAAACGCTTCTCAACCATCAGAACCATCAGGGGAAAAGCCTCAAACGCCGACTTCCCAAGACTTCCCAAGGGTTTTCCCCATCCTGTTAATCCTGTGCCTGAACATGAGATGTTCCTCAGGGGCTCATCCAAATCCAAATGATCTGCTGGAATCAGCGCTAGCAACGCCTTACAGCTCACCTCATTAGGCTGCAGCTGCATACGGCTGCAGAAATATTGGGTCAGCCTTAAAACAAAAAACACTCATTGCTGCAACCATTCTGCTGGTACCGTTTTGCCGTTTCGCTTCTGCTCAGAGTCATGTGACACACACTGCTTTCCGAGGAACAAAGCATGCGAAGATTCCCACTACAATGTGGAAGATTGTACTCCATGCCCTCGCAGACTCGCAGAGTCAGAGCGAGTACAGTTTTGTCCCCTGAAACATTTGAAGAGCCTAAATGTGATTGAATCGAGATGCGATTGGCAAGTGTTGCGGGCCAAACTGGAGTGATGCTACCTGTGTATGGCGATGACCGGCTTACCATAATAATTCAGCAACAAATGTCTGGTCAATTGCTACACCAAACATCACCATCCGATCTATGGGATCAGTCTGAAAACCCGGATCACTGTTATTGTTAGTATTGTTATTATTGTTATTACTAAAATATACTAAATTATGACATATTATGACTATCATTTGCATCATCTTACTATCGATGCCAAGCGGCCGGAAAGCCACTCGCAGCGTTCCTCCTGGAGCTCAAGGGGCCGCTTGGCGGGTTTGGAAAGTGTCGATGTTGAGGGATCATCCAATCATCCATGAGTAGATACCCTGGGTTCAATCTTTGTTGAATCCTGAATCCAGGAATCAGATCTTTGTGAAATGCAATGCTCTGAGAAACATTGAAACATATTGAAACTGCGCGTCACCATTTGGAATGCAGAAATTGGAATTAGATGGTGTAACACGGTGTACTGATCTGTGCTGTGATGCAAATGACATCAAATGACATCAAATGACGATCTATGGCTCCACAATTTGTCGTCCCAGTCGTCCCCGGCTCCATCTGCTGGTGCCCGAAGCGAAGGAGAGAGCAGCTGCTGCGTGCGACCTTGGCATCAAAAGTGGACAATGCCCTGTTGCGAAATCTCGCTATCAATAGTTTTATATGGTTTTATGTGTATAAATATATATATATATAGGTTATCAGATATGGAAAAATGGTTTTATAATGTTTTATAGATTTATATCATCAATGAAAATGAATCCATTGTTCCCAAGTGGTTCGAACCCTAATCAAGCAACTCGCATTTCTAAGCAGGGCCCAATCTTGCCGTCAATTGTCACGTTGCAGCGAAAAATGGTTGGCACTAAATGCAGGGATTTCACTGGTCAACAATCCAGCATGTCCATCAACTCATATTGCACACTTATCCTTCATATCAGACACATCTACGCCCTTCTGTACACAATGCGGGTCAAACCAGCGGTCACTGCAGACCAAAATAAGGGTTATCGCTAGATCCATTGATTTCCATTGATTTCCATTGATTCATCAAAAAAAACTTCCCGATTAAGCAGGCCTCATCTTCCGGTATACCCGGTCCAATTTTCAGACCCCTCAGGATGTGTGTACCCACTGGGCATGCAAACAAATCTTGCAACCGCCCACCAGTTTGAACATTCGATGGTTGAACCAAAAAATGTCTTATCATTTGTCAACTAGATATATGTCCATTGTTTGTTGGTTCACAAACATTGATAGAATTGATAGCAAGGAAACCATCAACCACCCAAGTTGTTTCGCCGAGTCACTATCCTCAAGGCCGCCAGCGCTTGGCGAGGCATCGCCGGTCTAAGCGCAAGACTCGACATGATATGGGTCACTTTAGTCGTGGATGCTATGAGAGACTGCCCAACTAGAAGCGAAATGGCCCATTCTTTTTGAGCCATCACAAAAAAGGGCAAAAGAGTCATTGATCCTTCAAAAAAGTAAGCCTGAAAGAATCGGGATATCCGTAACATTTTGGTACAAGACATTACAAGACTATGGAACGACCACGCCTGCGCAGCTTCGCTATCTGGCCTCGCAACCTCACCTGGAAGGGCGTTGGCACAATTTCCGTACCCAAACGTCTTGCAACGCTTGCGGAAATGAAATGCATTTCATGTGCCAGGCGTGGGGACGTGCATTGGCTGAATGCGCATATTGCCTGAATTTAGAATGGGTTTTGCGAAAAATTAGCATTTACCAGCGTTTTGAGCTAGTTTCGCTCGAAGAGCACATCAAGTTTTGAATGTCATGTATTGGCATTGCTGTATTTCTCATTTGTAGTGTCATGTGCATTCCAGAATAGAAACATGGCCTGCGGGGAAACTCTATACAGCGTATCTTTACCAGTTCTTGTCTGTTTCAAGCCTAAACTGTGTTATGTTTTTGTTGTCTCTCGCTGTGGTGCAGTCCAGGTGTTGCAAACCAGGTCATTTCCAATGACTTCAACCGCAGAGCGCTGATTCGTCCAACTGCGCACGTGTTCTGACTTGCAACTACGTCTGCCGATCAATGCAGCGCCATCGGTAGGCACGCATATAGAATTGCAGCTAACATGATTGATTACCCAGCTGCTTGGGAATTCATGCCTTGCACCTAGTCCAGGCTTGATCCACAACAACATCTTACACTTCATCAACGTAACCACAACAGCGTCTTACACTTCCAAGGAACGTTAACACCTCCCCACCCCCAACGCATCATCATCAGAACATAAGCACAACAACGTCTTACACCTAGTCAACGTAACCACACCAACGTCTTGCACTTCCAAGAAACGTTAACATCTCCCCACCTCCAATAACCACAACAAGTCTTACACTTAAAAACATTCAAAACCTGGGGCGCAAGCAAAAACATGGCCTTGTGTGTGTGTGTGGGTTAAAAAAGGTGCGATACTCCAACGCTCCTATGCTAGATGATTTTCAGTCGTGGGGGATCCACAAGATTCCATATACCCTCTGTATCACTTCCAGCTGGGAGACTCTCGCACATCGTGGAGGCAGCCGATGCCTTGCCACATGCTGAGGCCATGTTTAAAAGAAAATCATCTCTAAGAGCCTAAGAATGCCTAAGAGATTAGTCTAAAGTTCTTTGCCTCAGATGAAATGGCCATGTTTTGGGCGTGAAACCCTCCAATTTTGGGGTACACAATCACTCTGGTATCAAGATTTCATTCAACCACCAAGCGATCTGATCCTGTGTGAGTCGAAATGGCACCTCCGGCAGCTCCTCCATCGGCCTTGGGTCCTGACCAGGTGTCACAGATGGCTAATCCCAGCACAACGAGGTTTTCCCACGGAGGTTTCTAGATGGGAAAATCATTGAACTATATTAAAGTATATGTGTAAAATAATATATCCATATATACAGTGTGTGTATGTGTGTATATATATATAAATTATATGTGGACATGTTCCAGCAATTTCCATGTTTGATGATTTAATGATACCAGAGGGTACCATTTTTGGAGTTTCATCAAGCTGCACACCCAGCCTCCACGCTTGGTGTGATATCGTCCTCGGCCTGTTGCAACGTTCTCAGCCAGCTGACCAGCCAAGGTGCCTCGAAGCCCGCCAGAGATCCCAAGGTGGATTGACTTCTCGGGTTTTGGGTTCTGTTAAGTTCAGCACGTCCATAGCACCATTAAGTTTTCAAGTTCGTTCTACATTTCTGCCGTCGAGGTGTGCTTGTAGATTTGAGATCCCTGTAGTAACTGTAGATTGATTTGCCAAAGACCGGAAGTCGCCCAAGAGAGTCTGGATCGAGGCCCCCTTGACCAAGCAGCCGGTTCTTCAGAGCGAAAACCGTAGAACGGATAAGCCTTGGCACCGCATGGCACCGCGGGCCAGTTGAATTGATGTTTTGAATGTTTTGAATGGGTAAGGGATGTCCGCATGATCCAATTCCAGACTGTCTGCACACTATGTATGGTTTTCTCAATCCATGCTTTCACAATTCAGCATCATGAGCGTGATGTCAACATGATCAACATGATTTTGAAAAGAACAAGAAGTAAAAAATTGGCAATAGGGCCAATTGGGCCAATGGGGCCAATTGGGCCAATGGGGCCTTGTCAATCGCTGGATTCATGGGACTGCCTTGGCATAACTTTATCGATCAATACGGACAAGGCACCAGGAAAGTGTGGACGATGGCTAGCAGAGGCATCCAGGAAGCATAAAGCAAGCCTCAGCCGACATTAACAACCGCAAAAGACTGGCTGGTCAGGGATGTTAGGGAATCCTGGTTACAAACCCTCACAAAGGCAGGTTTCATGATTGGGAGGTTGTTTGATAGACTTCAATTGCGGAAACGGATCAGTTTGAGGGTGCACTTTGCTTTTCACCAAGCACAGGCTGCGCCAAGAAACAATGGACCAAATACATTTTGGATTCAGGCCAATGCCAGAAGGACGCTAAAGCAGAGATCACCAGCCACTGGAAATATGTCACGGAAACGATGCCTGCACATGAAGGCCAAAAACGCCAAGGATGCCAAAGATGTGGCAGATGTGACATGATTTGCGTGTCACGCGTGGTCTTGGGACTCACTCGCTTTGGCTGATGTCAACATTCACTTTGATCCTCCACAAGTCCTTCTTGGCTCTTGGCAATTCATGTCAATCCTCTCAGCCTACAGCAAACTCATGTGTTGCTGAACCTCCTTTGCAAAATGGCTTTGTCCAAACCTCTGGTATACGCTGCCACTGGCTGTAGCATCCAACTGCCCGGCCATGTCGGAGAATGCCGAATACATTCGAATACCCAATGTTCATTCATTTTCAGACTGCAAAAGGGATTTTAGCAGCGGGCCTTTTGGCTATGAATAAGTGTAGTATCTGTGCTACAAACAGACTGCGGTAAGTAACAACAACCTCTTACTGCAGGCTTCTTTTACCCAAGAAAGTCGCGGCTCACGCTGCTCCGTTAGCAGGCTATGAGCCCAAATCGTGCCTCTCGTCGCTGAAACATGGCGCGTCGACGAGGAAGAAGCGTTCCAGGACATCGAGAAGGGCATCTTCGCATGAATGAGGATGAGCAGGTGAACCCTTTTTGGTCCCAAGGAGTAGAAGATGCAGCAAGGGTGGATAGGCTGAGACCAGCCGCTTTGCCGCCAATCCTGGGAACTCCTGATAGTCTACCTCCAGTTCCTGCTGATGAATGGGAACAAGGAGATGAAACGCCAAGGCCGGTGCAAGGACTTTCTCGGGCGATGGGTAGCGGTGGGGGAATGGTTAGAAGTCAAGGCCAGATGCCTACTCAAGTGGCATTTGAAACACCAAGTAGCTGGAATCCCCAAACTCCAGGACCACAGGGCACCCAGGTGTTCAGGATGCATGAAGAAACTACGGACTTCAATCTCTTTGACTTCGACGAGGACTTGGCGCATCAAACTTCGCGTGCAGGAATTCCTCAAGTAGATCTTCTTGGCCCTCTTGGTGGTGAAGGACATCGAGGGAAAGGTCAAGGGGGAAACGATCAAAGAGAACAAGATCAAGGTGGAAGAGAAGGGAATCCTGCTGGACAAAGGCAACGTTCTCTAGATCTTCTAGGTGATGTTCTTCGAGGTTCACATGGGGATGTCTCAGCTCTGCAACGTGGGAGAGGTAAAAGCCCGGAAATGCCACAGCGTGGAGGAAGTCGTCAAGAAAACGATCGAGGCTCTCGTGGACTTTCGGTAGATCGCCAATGAAAAGATCGAAGCCGACCAAGAGGTGAAGATCGTCTTCAACATCAAGGTCAAGATCATCTGCAAGGAAAAGAAACCGATGCAGAACCCAAAAAGATCCAGCCAAAGGATCAAAAAGGACCAACGTTGGAGCAGGATTTGAGCTCTTGTTGGTGCAGCAATTGATGCAAGAAAACGAGGAGCTTCGAAAAAGGTTGGATGCAATGAGCAAATCTCAGCCATCTCCTCGTGTACAACAAGTTCAACAAGTTCAACAACAAGATGAGTTGGACACCTCAAGTTGGGAGCCGGTGCCATCAAGAACGACTCCAACACCTACGAACCGCCAGACAAAAGATGTGAACAAAGTCACTCCTGGTGGAACTCGACTTCCGGATGGACCACCGCCAGTCGACAAGGTGGAGAAGGATCCCATGCCGCCGCCATTGCCTCCAGTGCCGCCTATGCCATTGGGAGACTACGAGGAGTACAATGAAGCGGGGGTCAACAAATGGCTGGGACCACAGACGTTTCGTGTTGGTGCTCAACAAGCTGATGGAGATCTACATGGCTTCTGGGACAGCAGAAGAGGGTTCAAAGACTGGAGCAAGAATTCAAGGACCTTCGTGAAGCTTTGACTATGCGGAGGTTGCCTGGTCAAGAGCCTTTGGGTGCGTATGGAGCTCAACCACTTCAACGAGTGGGACCTCGAAGTGCTGATCCGTCCGGAGCTCAGCAGACTCTGCATCAGGGCGATGACATTAACATGCGTGGGTGGGTTCATGTCAATGGTGGTAATCCTTATCTTCAGGGACAACCCATAGCTGGAAACCAACTTGGACAACAAGGAGGCCAATTTGGGAATCCTTATCAATGAGGGGGTCAACATCAAGGAAGTGGAAATTGTGACCCGAGAACTTTTTTGGGTGGTGGAGTTCAAGATGACCGGCCTCGTGAAGAAGAGCTCAAGCCGGTGACCATCACTCTACCGAACTTCCTGAATTGGGAGGGAAAAATCAAGGACTTGAAGCTGGCGATTGGATGGCGCAAATTCGTCCTCGGATCGCTGATGTGAGTCATCGTGCAATGTGGTGGTGGGATACTTTGGTGACCATGACCACTCAACGTTATCAACAATGGTTGGGAAATGATCCTATCACTCGCCTCATTGTGCAACCTCCAACGGTGGAGGAATTGCCTCAAGGGTTTACGAGGTTGGAGCAGAGGGTTACGTCATTGCTCATGCAGGCGATCCCAAAAACCTTGGCTGCAGAGATGATTGCAAATCGTCAGCTTGGGGCTGTTCAGATCATCTTCAAAGTGATGAAGGTCTACCAACCAAGGCGGCTTGGGGGAGCATCAGAACACCCTGCAAGCCCTTACAACGACCCAACCTGCCGGGATGTATCTGGAAGCTTCCACGTCTTTGAGAATGCGGCAGCGTCACCATTCACGAGCTGAAGAGCTAGGTGCAACGGTTCCAGATCCTACATTGATGGTAGGTGCTCTTGACAAAATACTGTCAAAACTTCTTCAGGGGAATCCACAGTCGAACTTCCGCCTCAGTGCGTTTCGCATGGGGGCACAGGTTGATACCAAGCCAACAGCTGCCACGGTCAAACAACTACATCAAATGCTACTTGCAGAAGTTGAACTCGCACTTGGCAGCACAGAGGTGTCTGGTAAAGCACAAGGAGGGTTTGCGTTGAAAACCCTGAAAGAAGGCTGGCAATCCAGCACAACCGGTTTGCCGCTTCTGGAAGTCTGATCAGGGATGTCGACAAGGAGCACAATGCAAGTTCCAGCATCCAGCGCATGATGATGGCAAGTACCACTGTTATACCTGCGGAGCAACATATCACAAAAAACCGGATTGCCCCTACAACTCTCCGAACAAGGAGGACAAGACCCACACTACAACTGGAGCTTCAAAAGGTTCTCCAGCCGGGGGGAGTGGTGCCGTTGGTGGTGATGGAAAAATTCCGGACAAGCAGGGTGGAAAAGGTAGCTCCAAAGGAAAGGGTGGAAAAGCTAACAAAGACCAGAAAGGCAATTCAACAGGGTCAAAAGATGATCAAAAGAATGTGAAGAAAGCTGAAACAGAAGGAGGAAAAGAAGCACCAACTGATTCTAAAGGGACGTCAGATGCTGGGACGGGAGAGCTGAAGTGTTGTCGCTGATAAAGACTCTGAAAACCCCGGAATCCTCCTCAACGGCATATCGCCTGTCAAGACGGTGAACCTCCGGAAGATTGACATGGGCAAGAATGAAAGAGTTCTGATCGATGGTGGGGCTACTCATGTAGTGAGGAAAGCCAAATCTCAAGATGAATGGGATCAAGGATAACCAGTTCAAGTCGCTTTGGCATCGGGAACAGCGGAACTGAAACAAGATGTGGTGACAGGATCGCTGTTGACGCATAACGATGGTCAGATGATCATTCCCATGGCAGCGTTGACAAGGCTGGGTTATGAGGTGAAGTGGACGGGATCAGGCTGCAAGATCAACTCACCAGATGGTGCTCAACTACCAGTACAGCTTGACCAAGGATGCCCAACACTTCCTCGGCGTGAAGGCGCTTGCATTCTTCAACAAGCGGAAGATCATCAACGGCATGAGACACAAACGAAGCTGGCGGCCATCAGACCAAATGTGGAACTGCCACAAAGGCCTGTCCAGAAGTGGAAGTGGTGAAGAGACTCAAAGCAATCTTCCCAGAAGTGCCTGCGGATTTGGTAAAAGAAATCCCGGGTTATGCCGAGGTCGATATGAACCAGGTGGTCTTCAATCGCCATCATCGACGGAAAGTTCAACGTGCAAAGACTTTGGTGGTACCCCGGTACACCTCTTCTCAGGAGATGATCCGAAGTTCTGGATGGCACACGAGAAAAATGGTGTTGTCATCACCTGCATCGAGCTCACGAAGGGCGCTGACCTTCGAAACAGCCATTTGTATGGGTGGCTGGAACAACTGGCAATGAGTGGAAAAATCGATGTTCTTCTTGCTGGATCACCCTGCAGGTCTGTAAGTGTTTGTCGACTTCGATCTCTTGAAGGTGATGATGGGCCACAAGTAGCCAGAGCAAGGCAAGGTCAACAACGATTTGGAAGGAACGACCTCTCTGAGGAAGAGCTCAAGTTGGTTTGTAATGACAACTTGCTTTGGATGCGGACATTGTGGTTAGCCATCCAAGCCTATGAGGCAAACCAGAACCTGGAGATCACCCTGGAATAACCACAGGACCCAGAACAATGGCTTTCCAAGCTTCTTGGCGTGGCCGGAGACGGAGGTGATGGTGAAAAGGTGCCAACTGCAAAGGATCAGTTTCCACCAGGGCGCGCTAAGACATCAAACAAGCAAACCGACTACGGTCTTAACGTCAATGAAAGAACTTTTTGACCTACAAGGATTGGTGTCAAAAGGGTCATCAAAAGCATGGCCTTCGGACCTCAACCAGCGCATGGAACTTTCGAGCTCTTTGGCGTCATGGGCACCGGGATTGAAGAACTTCTTGGTGACGGGCATCAATCGGGTCAATGGGCAATCTCCTGCACTATGTGCATTGCCTACAACGGAACAAAGACAAATCAAAGAATGGCAGCTGCACGTCTCAAATGGACACAAACCCTTTCGACGGGATTGTGCAGTTTGTCTTGAAGGTGCCGGCAGAGATCGCCCAAGACGTCGTGTTCAACATCCTGAATCGTATACTTTGAGCATTGACCTGAGTGGACCTCACAAAAAGGGAATTGACCAGAGGGGACGTCCAAGCTACTTCATGGTGGCGGTGTATACGGTCCCGGTGCAAGATAGCTTTCCACTTCCTGAAGGTCTGCAAAAAGTCGCAGGTGATGAAAAACGTCGTCTACAACCTCCTGAAGGAAGTCCTTTGGATCGAGATGATCTCCTGGAACAATTTGAACGAGAGCTGGAAGAAAACTTGGCACGTGCAGCGGCGCCTGTGGATCTTACAGGTGAGGACGAAAACCAGCAGGTTGCATCAGCCGAAGGTCAAGCTCCACTACAAGAAGGGCATCAAGAACAACAATCAGGAGATGGTAAAGTT